ATGTTCGATATGTCTTTTTTTTTTTTTTTTAACTTTTAAAAAATATTTTTTGGGATTAAAAAAAATGACAGGAAAAAGTAATGAAACAAGGGTAATGTGCATAGGCGGGCCCGTGGGAGCGGAGGGCAGAGCGCAGGCGGCCGCGTGGAGCCCGCGCTCTGTGCCCAGGGATGGACACCAGCCGCCCTGACTACGGGCCGCCTCTGGTAATGTGCATAATCGTCACAGGCTCGTTTTACATAGGCTTTCTCGTCTCCCTCCCTCCCGCCCCCCTTGATAAAATAACCCTTTCCAGCCCACGATCTGAAAAGTGCCCTTCATGATAGAACTAGTCTAAGCAGCTTTTATACTTAAAAAATCAAAATGACGACACACCATACGAACATAAGACGACACAAAATAAAAAGCTATGAGGAACATCCTGTCATTAGCGTGTGACACTGACCAAGCGCAGCCCGCACTGTCCTGTGGACAGTTCGCAAGGACCGCGGCGGACATGCGTCCCCAGTACTGGACGGAGGTACTCAAGGGCTGCCGGGCTGCTCCGGGCCAAGCGGGGTCCTCAGCGCCGCCCGGACTGGAAAGGGTCAGCCTTCTCTTCCCAGCGCTGCTGATTGTGGTGCCCGTGGGGTCCTCTCGGTCCTAGATGGATTCCCCACTGAGAAGGTCGCCGGGCAGCAGCGTGTTCAGCGGGGTGGGGCTTCCGATCACCCTGCCGTCGTCACTGCTGGGAGGGCCCCAGAGGCTGCTTGAGTACTGGGGGACCCCGCCCCACAGCAGGTCGCTGCTCCCTTTGCCGGCCAGACACGGGGCGCTCCAGTGGCCGGTGTCGCTCCGCACCAGGCCGTGGGAGCCGCCCGAGGCGCCCAGCCGCGCCTGGCCGGCCCCGGTGCCCGACTGCCAGCCGGAGGTGGACGGCACCGCCTGGCCTTGGGCCAGGAAACGATTTACCTCTTCTTCGCCGGCAAACTCGGCCAGGATGGTAGTGTTTCCCAGAACACACCTGAAAGGGCAGGACGGCAACAAAATTAAGAGCTGGTCTTTTGGGAAGATACAAAACTTGACAGAGCTTCAGCCGGACGAAGAAACGGAACCGCAAAGACTCAAGTCCGTAAGATCAGAAATGAAAGAGGAGACACGACGACTGATAGATACCACAGAAACACACGGGATCGGGAGAGACTCCTAGGAATGATCCCATGCCGACAAACCGGGGACAGCTTAGAAGAGACGGACAAATCCCTGGAGACAGATAACCTAGCAGGACTGACTCGTGAGGAAACAGAAAGTCTCAACAGACCAATAATGAGCAAGGGGACCGAATCAGTGACCAGAGACCTCCCAGGACAGAAAAGCCCGGGACCACGACATGGCTTTCCTGGGGATTTCTACCTAGAATTCAACAGCGATCCTTCTCAAACGCCTTCAGAAAAACCGAGACAGGGGGACGCTCCCATCCTCGTTTTATGAGGCCGTGTCATCTTGACACCAAAACCAGACCAGGAGGCGAGAAACTACAGAACAGTATTCCTGATGAACACAGATGTAAACATTCTCAACACAATATTAGGAGACTGAATTCAACAGCACATTAAAAGGATCATACATCGTTATTAAGTAGGATTTATCCCGGAGATGCAACGACGGTTCGACACCCGCAGATCAACAAGTGTGATACGTCACGTTGACGGAGTCAAAGGTCAAAATCCGAACGTCTCAGCAGATGCAGAAACGGCATCTGACCAAACACAACGACCTTTCACGACAAAGACCCTCCACGACAGGGGACAGAAGGGGCACGCCTCCGGGTAATAAAGGCCACCCACACAAGACAGACACACAGCCAATATACTCAGCGGTGAGAGGCTGGAAGCATCTTCTCTAAGATCAGGAACAAAACAAGGATGCCTGCTCTTGCCACTTCTTTTCAACATAGGACTGGAGTCTCGGCCAGAGTAATTGGGCAAGACCAAGAAGTAAAAGGCATCCAAACTGGAATGGAAGGGATAAAAGTGGCATCATTTGCAGATGACGTGATCTTACGTAGAGAAAACTCTAAAGGCTCAACCCAAAAACTACTGATGAATTCAGTAAAGTTGCAGGATACACAACCAACATACAGAAAACAAGTGCATTCGTACACACCAAAAGTGAAACACCTGAAAGGGAAATAAAAAACCTCATTTGCACCAGCATCAAAAGCAACAAAACACTTAGGAGTAAATTGATGCAAGCAAGTGAACACTTTTCGTGCAATGAAAACGAAAATAATTTTAAGTAAAGAAACCGAAGAAGGTACAAATGGAAGGACGTCCTGTGTTCGTTCACACATCAGAAGAATCAACACTATTAAAAGTCCAGACGACTCGATGCCATCTATACCTTCAGTGTAGTCCCTATAAAAACCCCAGTGGCATTCTTCATGGAAATTTGTATGGAACCACGGAAGACTCCAAATGGCCAAAGCAATTCTGAGAAAGAGTAACACGGCAGGAGGCATCACACTTGCTGATTCCAAACCAGACTACAAAGCTACGGTATTCAAATCAGTATGGTAACAAAACCAAAACAATCAACAACTACAACAACAACAACAACCACCCAGACAGTCACAGACACATAGACCAGTGGAACAGAACAGAAAGCCAGAAAGAGAGCCCCACGTAGACAATCGATTAGTATTTGGCCAGGCCATCAAGAGTACTCAGTGGGGAAAGGGGAAAGGATAGTCTCTTCAACAAATGTGCTGGAAAAACTGGAAAACACATGCAGAACAATGAAAAGTGGACGCCTATCTCACGCCACTCACAAAAATTAACTTGAAATGGATTCAAGACTTAAACGTAAGATTCTGGAACTGTAAAACTCCTGGGAGAACACACAGGGAAAAAGCTCCTTGACGTTGGTCTTGGCAATGATTTTTTTTTTTTTTTTTTTTTAAATTTTAGAGAGAGTGAGCAAGAGCGAGATTGCAAGCAGGGGAGAGGAGCAGAGAGAGCGGGCGAGAGAATCCCAAGAAGGCTCTGTGCTGTCAGTGCAGAGCTGGACACGGGGCTCGAGGCCACAAACTGTGAGATCACGACCTGAGCCGAAATCAAGAGTCAGACGCTCAACCAAGTGAGCCACCCAGGCGCCCCCCTGGCAATGATTTTTTGATACGACACTAAAAGCACATGGGGGGCCGGCTAACTCAGTCGGTGGAGTGTGCGACTCTTGATCTCAAGGTTGGGAGTCTGAGCCCCATGTTGGGTATAGAGAGTACTCAAATCAACAAAACTTAAAAAAAAAGCACAAGCAATAAAGAAAAAAGTGAATAAGCAGGACTGCATCAAACTAAAAATCTTCTGCACAGCAAAGGAAACTGTCAATCTGATGAAAAGACACTCTACGGAATGCAGGAAAATATTCACAAAAATATTCACATCACTCATCATCAGGGAAATGCAAATCAACGCCCAATGAGGAATCACCTCACATCCGTCGGAATGGCTGTCCTCAAAGAGACAAGAGAGAACCACCGTTGGTAAGGATGCTGAGAATAGGGAGCCCTTCTGTACTGCTGGGGGAACGTGAGTTAGTCCAGCCGCTAGAGAGGTTTCTCAGAAAGTTAAAAACGGAAGAATCGTACGATCCAGCAATCTCACTTCTGGCCACATATCCGAAGGAAAGCATTCCTGCAGTGTTGTCCAAAGTAACCAACACATGGAAAGAACCTGAGTGCCTGTCAATGGACGAACGGATTGAGATGGTTCACAGCCCCTGCCCCCACCACGGAACGTCACTCAGCTGTGGGAAAGAGGACCCCGCCATTTGTGACAAACACGCACGGATGCTGGTGGCCTTAAGCTGAGGGAGGGAAGTCAGGGAAAGACAAATCCCGCGTGGTCTCGCTTGGGTGCGGACTCTAAAAGATCCACGCTTGCAGACACAGAGAGGAGACAGGTGGTCGCCGAGGGCTGGGAAGTGGGGTGGTGTTGGCACAAGGGTACGGACTTCCGGTTAGAAGAGGACCTACCTAACACACCGCGCGCTGACGACAACTAGCAACGCTCTACACGGCAGAGCTGCTAAGAGGGCAGATCTGCAACGTGCTCGCGACAAACACGAAACGGTAATTCTGGGCCAGCGGAGGCGTGAGCTAACGCTGCGCAGCGATCACACCCGGGCGGGATACAAACGCGTTAAATCCACACGTGCTCACCTTAAACGGACGCAACGCCGTGTGCCAACTACAGCTCGAAAAAGCCACCAAAACCCTCAAAACAAACAGCAAGAAGGAGCAGGACAGCAGTCACGTGGGTGGAACAACCCCGCGCCTTCCTGTGCCCACCTCCCTGGCTTCCTGTGCTGCTTTCACGGAAAAAGCGCAGCTGGGGGCATCACAGGTCACCAGGAAAGAGCCCACGGCTCGCGTTTGGCCTCTGCTGTTTCCAACCCCAGATTACGAGCTGCTTTCCTCATCTGACACCTTTAGCAGCGATACTGTGTCGGTGACAGTATATTCTTCAGGAGGTACGTGAAGGTGCCCCTCAACTTGGGCATCATCTAGAATCTGTTAACTTACATCCTGGGCTAAAAATGGGAACGACTAATTTCCGGGCCCTGCAGCTCCAGTGACTGAGCAGGTCCATTCACACATCTTATCAAGAGCATCCTGTAATTGGGGGAGGGAGGTGGCTGCTAGGATGTGTCACCTGCCTGGGGCTACCCGGTGGAGACAGCGTTTCCTTCTGTGTCCTATGTGCTCTCTCGGGGG